CCTGCTCCCCGGCCCCGCGGCGCTCGCCACCCCGCTCGCTGGCTCCCAATCGTCGCTGCCCTCTGGCCCGGGCGGCCCCGCGCCGGCTCTGCAGAGCCCGGCTGCTCTGCCCTCCAGCCCCTCGGGCACCCACTGCAAAATGTCGCTGGCGCCGTAGTAAGGAGCCCGGCGCCCAACTCTTCTCACTTGAAGGCGCAGCGCCGCCGCCGATTGGCGCGCGCCGCCCGGGGGGAGACCGGGGGAGGCGCCGGCGGCGGCCCGCGCCATTGGTCGCGGCGGACACCTGTCAACGTCGGGGCCCACGGCCCGCCCCCGCCCGCCCGCCTGGAGCGACGGGGTCCTAAAACTGCTGGAGCCCAGCCGCGATGGCTGGGGCGGGGACAGCCGCCGGGGTGGCAGAACGTGGGGGCTCGACTGGAGAGCCTCTTCCCCACTTGCCCTTCCGCGGCGGGTACGAGCCACGCGGGCAGAAAGGCCCGCTGCCCGTGTCAGGTTCCAAGGCCCGGGGATTGGGAGGAGACACAGGACCCGACTCCGGGCACGCCCCTCTGGGAGACCTCTTGGCTTTTTCATTCTGGGAGTCCCGAGCTGCTGAGAACGCACGCTGACACGTTCAGGTGCGCTTTGCCTTCCCAGTGCCAATGTATTGAATCTGTCATCTCCTGTGGGACGTCTCTTGCGTTTCGTGTGTGTGTGTGTGTGTGTGTGTAAATGTTAAGGTGGACGTGGATTTTGTCTTCCACAAATCCGCACTCAGTCCCTCGCCCCCAGTCTAGTCTGAGAAGTCAGGTTCTGCCCTGAACGGCAGGACACAGAGCGGTTTGAACATGAAATTCGCCAGCGTTGGAAACACCACCCTCAGGAGGCATTATTGCGACGGTTCTTGGTGAGGAAGGGACCAGAATGATGCTTCCGTGAACACAGAGCTCTCCTGTTGGCCGAGAAAAGTCCGTGGGGCATGCATCCCCCTGCAGGAGCCCGGCGATGTGTCACAGAACCGATTGGCCAAAGGCAGGGCGGTTTACTTTCTAAAACCTAAAAGCTGGGAATATGCAATCTCCTACTGTGAGCAGCGGCCAGAAAGTGAAGAGGAACCAGCACACTAACCAGAGCAGGATCGAGGACTGAGTGTCGGGATTTGCATCTCCCAGGTGTGATCAGGAAGGACTCATTCCTGGGGATGTTTATTGTACTTGGTAAAGTTGAGTCCGTGAAAAATAAGAAGACCCTCAAGGAGATGGATTGACAGTGGCTGCGACAATGGACAATGAGTTGGAAGATGGCACAGGGCAGGGCGGTGTTTCCTTCCGTTGTACATGGGGTCGCTGGACGTCACAACTCGCTCCCCAGCACCTGAAAACCACCCGTGCACACACTTCAAATATTCACCATAAAAGCCCTTGCAAGTGCTGTTGGATGGGCCCAAAGAATCAACACCTGTAGACTGGGAAGTCAACCCGGCCACCTACACTGAGCATTGTCAACGGCAGCATTTGACCCCCTTATCTTCCCCAAACAGGTTCCTGTGGAGAATAAGAGAGTTTCCAGTGTCACAAAGCTATGCTTTCCTAAGTAGGGGAGAGTTGAATGAAGAGGACACGCTGAAGAGTTTGGGGGAGGGGCAGAAGAGTGAAGGGGTGAAAATTAGTGTCAGGTAAACTTTAAAATTAGCAGGTCAGAGTAATTTAAAGAGAAACTTTGTAAAAAGAAAATACAAGCACCTTGCAGATTTTCTTCAAAAGGCTTTTTCCCTAGGGGAGAGTTGGTTACAATGATTCTGTTCTGAAGGGCCTTGTTTCTGTTTTACTACAGTACTGGATACTTTTGAGATACATCTCACATCAGGCTAACATTAGATAAGTGGCACTAAGAATAATGTTACACAACCTTGCAACACCAGCACCTAGTCAATAGCAGTTGCAGTGTTTGGATGGTATTTGTCTTGCTTTCAGATGATACTTCTTTGGGATAGTGAAGTACCAACCCTGCTCTAAAATGGGGAAGGAAAGCACACCTCTTAAATAAGTCCTCTAGTTTTGAAACCATTTGTATCATTATCTTCCTTAATCTTCACTGGGACACTAGAAGGACAAGTTCACCGCCTTCATGTTATAGAATTCATATTCAACGAAATGGAAGCGCTCATCCCCAGCAGACAGTCTTCTGAGTTGGAACGGGACCCAGGTCTGACCCCATCCCACCTGATTGTTCTCTGTACATTTCTCCATTCTCTCAGTTCCCTTTGGGGAAGAGGGATTTATAAAGGAGTCCCAAGTTTCTTAGCCACCTGTTTTAGCAAGAAACCCTGTTAGGGTGAGTGATGATGTTTCAGTGGTCACTTTCACCCTGTGGAGTAGGGAGACCAAGTGTGGGCCCATCTCCTACAGTGGTTGAGCTCTAAGATTGAATGCCTTTCCCTGTGTCTCACCACACTCAGCTCAGGAGCACACGCACACACACAATGTGGTCCTGGTAGCAATAATTTAGTAGGTAATTTAGTAGAGGAGTAAATAGATAAGTCTTCAAGAGCTCTTTTGGAGAAACTTCCCTCCCTGTCTCTTACCTCAAGTCACTACTGGGGGGTGGGGGGGTGGGGGCAGGTGACTGGGGTACAGAATCTGCACTCTTCCTCACTGATATCCTATTTTTAAAATAACCCCCAGAGGAATTTGATTCAGCTCTTTTTGTCACCCATCCCACTTTTCTACTCTATCCAGGACTAGCTGAGCATAACTTCTTGAAAACGCAGTCAGAACAACATTGGAGCAGCACATTCAGAGTGGGTGGACTGCTGCAGCTCATCAATCCCATCCCCCTCTAATCAATCGGCAGGCAGTGCGACCTTAGATATTAAAATCCTTTCTTTTCACAGATCTCCTGTTCCCCAGTGCCTGAATGGTGCAAATGATTATTGAGCTAGATTGCTAAGCTTGGGGGGCCGAGTCCACTGGGAAGTGCTTCTGAAGAAACACCTGACAATCTCCTTCTAAGAAAAACCAGCCTGGGAAACCCTGTGGAGCATAGTTCTGCTGTGACATACATGTCCTCACCATGATTGGTCCTGAGACAGACCACTCTGTCACCCTAAAAGTTTTCAAAACTGACCTTACATTCCGCTTGAAAGTAGGTTCATACATATGGGAAGGGCTCTGTGAAGTTGTATGCAGAGGAGAAAGAAGGGAGAGGGACAACCCTCCCCTCCCCACCCCCGGAAGTTTGGGGTCTTTGTGTGGTTTACAACGTGTGAAGCTGAGCATGCTGGGGTCTCTTCCTGTTCCCAGCATCTGTATTGACCCAGCTCAGCAGGCTTTGAAGAAGGTTTGGGGCAGACAGGAGCTGGGGTTGGGTCTTGGAAAGGGCTGGAATGAGAGATCAAAGCTCTGGTCCGAGTGGTGCTTTAGGTAATTATTCCCCTCAGCAGCCCCAGGGCAGAACCCAGCTCTGATAGGGGTAGGTAGATCACTTTTGGCTTCCTAAGACATCAGACAATAGCTGATGCACCTTTAATCAGGCACTTCAGTGGTTCCCATCTCAGCCCCCACCAGTGCCTGGAATCCCTTTCTCTTTCCATACTATCTGGCTTCCAGGTACTAAATATTGCCTGCAGTTGTCCTTTCTCCCACTTATTGGAAAGGAGAAGTGATACTTATTCAAAAATCTCAGAAGAAAAAGGGCTGCTTTTCATCTTTGTGCATGTTTGGACATCCCTAGGAAAGCATCCTGATGGAACTGTCAGGTAAGTATTAGACTGCTACCTGCAACATTGGCTATTCAAACCCACCAGAAGTCACCCCTTTGGAAAAAAGATGAGTTTATCTACTCCTGTAAAGATTTAAACATTATATATATACATATGTGTGTGTGTGTGTGTGTATAAATGGACCCAAAACACAGTTCTGCCTCATAGCGATCCTATAGGATAGGGTAGAACTGCCCCCATGGGTTTGTGAGACTATAATGCTCTTTAGGGGAGATAAAAGATTCATCATTCTCCTGCAGAGTGGCTGGTGGTTTCAAACTGCTGATCTCATTGTTAAAAGCCCAACACTTAGCCATTACACTACCAGAGCTCCTAAAAAAAAAAAAAAAAGCCTGCATGGAACCGCTGTAAGTCCATAGGAACCTCTGGAAGACACTTCCAATGTCCTTCATTAGCTGGTTAGAAGTAGGTTCCTGGAGCTGCCTGAAGAAGCCTGAGGAGAGGGTGATCTCAGATTGGGGACCAGGGGAGGCTGGGGTCACAGGAAGGTAAGGCAGGGGGCCGGTCGCTCGGGTGACAGCCCCCCTCCCCCTCCCAGATATCAAGTTATTAGTGACCCATTGATCTGAGGACCTCCCTTCTTGACCCTAGGGAGCTGTCCCTTAAGAGTAGGAGTCAGAGTGTAGGGTCTTTGCAGATGTAATCATTCAAATCCAAGGTGGGGACCCCACAAGAGTCCCTTTCCACTCAACTTGGGGAGCCAGGGATACCTCAGATTGTCTACTTGGCCCCTTACTTGAATCTCTTAATGCCTTTGAGGAGGAATCTGTCATCTCCCCCCCATATCAGGATGTCCAGTCCAGAGACCTTGCCCCAGTGCCTGAGCCAACAGAGGCCCCAGGCCCAGGAATGATGGTGCCTTTATCTGCTGGCTCTGGCCCAGCACCATCCACCCTGGCTGCGGGAAAAACCCAGCCAAGCGGGACCAGGTCCTCTCCACAGGTTTCGGTCTAACCCAGGCAAACCAGGGGAACCCAAAGCGGCTCTAACATCTTGTGGTTGCACTAATTCAAAGCTCCCAGGTCACAAAGAGAAACAAAGCTGAGATTTCAGAAGAAGATTAGGCTGAGCCCCTCTCATCATTGGGGTGGGGGGAGAGGAATGGGGGGGGGAGTAACCCTAAACAGAGATCAAAGACTTCTCCAGAAGCCCGTATTTCTGCTAGAGGATTTTATTTTATGACAGTTTCACACAGGATCCGCTACATCATTCTGTTGTCAGAAACCAGGTATGTGACCCAGTAGGTTTTTCCCAGAAGGCTGTACCTGACCTGAAGTGCCCATTTCCGAGTAGATTGGTCTGGCCTTCATTTTGTTGTGAGTCCCACGAGAAGGAGTTTGGGGTTGTTTTGTTTTAAAAGGTAGAGCAATGCGCTCATATGTTCAGAGAGCCCAGTTTTTTTGTCTCCTATAGCAAATGTGTTTTGTTATTGAAGACGAGTTGACTGCAGGCTCTGTGTTGCTGTTCAGCATTTGCAGGGATACTAGCGGCTCCCCTCCAAACCCAC